GTTACGTTTTTGTTAACTTGTTCTTTTTAATGCAGATTACTACCAGCAAAGAGCCTCTTAACTAAATCTAGCTAACTCTCATGTGATGACATTTTAGTGGTCCCATGTCAGGGGGCCACTGTTCTCAGTTTTGTACATTAAAAAACCTTAGAACTCAAAATCATGCTCAAAATATTAATGCTGTCGGCGTTAATCTTATTAAAATGACGGTAAAGCCATAACTGCATTAACGCGGCAAATGTCCGTTAACGAGTAACCGCGGATCGCCCTGGATGGCTGGATGGCGTCAACACGTTAACGAGCTAAAGGCGCTAACGTGTTGATGCTGTGCAGCTCCACGCACAAGGTGATCCGCGATAACTCGTTAACTCGAAGATTTGCCGCGTTAATGCAGCTATGCCGTTAACGGCATTTAAACGAGATTAACACTGACAGCTCTATAAAATATGTAAAATCAAAGATTTATTCAAATAATTAATCATTAAGAAAAATATGCTTCATCTAAACTAAATATATACAAATCAAACATATTTAATATGATCAGATTTAATTGCAATATATATATATATATTTTTTTTTTACAGATTTACATGTATTCAAATTACTTAAACTCAACATTTTAGGCACACATATTTGTCATTGTCAGTAAACAAACTCAGGGACCTGCGGGGGATGGGGGCTGCATGGATGTAAAGGTTCACCGATGGACACTGAAGTTAATGGGGAGCCAGTGCAACTAAATTAGCAACGATGTGACATGCGAGTACTTGGAAAACTCAGCCAGAAGGCTCGCAGCGGCGTTTTGAACAACCTGCTGATGTTCAAAGGAAGCTTTGTTAAGACAAGCGAACAATGAATTACAATAATCCAGACGTGATGAAATAAAGGTGTGACTAACAATCTCCAATTCAGAGCGTGACACAGTGGAACTCCACTTGGCAACATTTCCTAAGTGATAAAACCGAGAGCAAACCAGAGAATTCACTGAATAAACGGGCTGTTGCTATAAACGTAACCTCCTCCGGGACATTAATTTACAGAGACAGACAACACATTGCACAGAGGTCACATCAATTTATTTTGCCTCTTTATTATATGTGTATTTAAAAAGAAATCAAAGAAATTGTAGCTATGATGGCTGCAATGCTACATTAAAAAAACACCTACCTGTGACTATAAATCACATATTTAACTGTTCAAAGAAATTCAATGTGAAACAACAGCTAGATGGTCCTTTTTAATGTGGAAACCTTATATACACTGTGAATAACGAGGATTTTCTAGTGATCTGATTGTCTTCTGACTAAACTAATAGGAAATGAAGAGCAGCACGTTTTTCCTTTCCCCAGAAAAACAGTGCTTTCATTGTGTCTTTCCATCAACACCCTTCTCATTCATTACCTTTTTTTTTTCTAGTGGAGATTTATTCCTACAGAGAGTACCATCAGTCTTTCGGAGCCCCTCTCTTTGGAAATGGCTTGTCTTATTGCGAACTGATGGACGTTTAGATCTTTAAAGATGCTCTGGAGTCTTTTCCAGCTTTCGTGATTTGCGATTGAGACATGGCTCACAACAACCAGTCTTTCATGAGAAGAACACACTTTGTGAGTGCAGACTTCGGATGCCTTTAATTATCAACCCATCAGCCCACACTTCCAATCTCATCACAACACCTGGCTCCAAGTGTTGTTTTGTTAGCAAAGGTGGTTTGCTTACCTTTTCAAGCCTAGACTGGGAATGACTGTCTGGGCTCGCCTGGGAATTGTGTGTAGTTAGTTTAGTTAGCTTTTTTTTCTTGTCTTTTTGGTCAGTTGTGATTTATGATGATCAATTAGCAAGTATAAATCCACACGGTTCACAAAATATTTTCTCAAAAGTGTTTAGATAAGTAGATAAAAGATACGTTAGGTGAGTTTAATTGTGAAATATATTCTAGACAATTTACGCCTATTTGTTTTGTGTTTCTTTGTCTTCCTTCTTTTGAGGCGATGTGATGAGTCACAGTTCCTAACTTGTAAATTGAGGAGCTAATTAAATCCTTGAATGTAGCTATTTGTGTAAAAATATGAAATCACGTGCATACTTCAGGTACTTAGCGCTGGGCTGACAGTATTTCACTTCAGTTGAGTAAAATCCAAACACATTTCCACACACAAGCACACATACTCACTACTTTGTGTTGTAAGTGTCTTAACTATTATAAGGTTAAAACCAGCTCCAAGCTAAAGTAGCTCATTTTAACTGCACCATTTTATGACTGTGCAGTCATAATTTGAATGCATCGCTTCAACTCGCTGGATGGACAGGAACCGAGGCCTCAGTCACCACCAGCTCCTCACTTTACAGCAAAGAAGCTTCTAGCTACACCTAGGGGGGAACCACGCAGCTCAGCTATCGCTGGCATTGAGTAAGCAATCTGTCTGCTTCAGCTGAGTAATTACAGATTTGCAGTACCTTTTCCTGCTGATGATGCTGTCATGGGCAATGGCTGTTGCTGTGTCCTGCAGGCTGGTATGATTGTTGGAGAATGACTTTGTTTCAGTCTCTGTGCCATAATTTATAAGGTGCTAGTGGGAAGAAGTTTACAAATTATCTCCTGAATTTAAAAGTTGAAATATCGACGAGTGAAAGATGGTTGCTTTATGTTGCGCTAACTTTAATATCGCAGAGGAACAAGAATCGTCTGAGGATAAGTGGCGGGATCATTAACCAAAAATAGACATTCAGCTCTGGTAGAATGCATTTTTCAATAATGATGTCAACTAATATAGAGGCAGTGTTTATTCCTGCAAATGCTAAGCCTTACAGCTACAGTGTGATGAATTACATTAAATTGAGTAATATCTTAAAATACCTCAAGGTTGGCTGAATTGTGTATACTGAACTCCACTTAGTTAGTTGTGATTAAAAAAAGATACAAGCTCAAAAAATACCTAAAAAAGCCCAACATGGCAGCATAATGAGAAATTTGAAAATTCACTTTAACACTCATCCTGGGATCCGAACAAACCCTGGAGGTGTATTATGTCATATCTCACAGGAGTTTTCTTCCATCGCTCCCATTTTTTAGGTCTGCCTAATGATGTTATCATTGTTGTGACATCAGATTCAGCGGACTTGGGATCTGGTCTTTGACCTTTACAGATGATGCGGTTCTCTTGGCCTCCAGCTTTCACTGGGGTGGTTTGCACCTGAATGTGAAGCAGCTGGGATGAGAAGCAGCGCCTTCAAATCTGAGGCCGTGGCTCTCAGCCAGAAGAGTGCCCACTCTGTGTCAGGGATGGTGTTGCTTCTCCAAGTGGAGGAGTTCAAGTATGTTGCGGTCTTGTGAGGAAAGAGTAGAGTGGGAGATTGACAGATTGGTGTGGATGCTGAAGAGAGAGGTGAGTGTCAGTTTAAAGCTGTCAATTTGCAGGTCGATCTACGTTGCCACCCTCACCTATGGTCACGAGCTGTGGTGACGGAAGGAATGAGATCACTGATACAAGTGGCGGAAATGAATTTCCTCTGAATGCTGTCTGGGCTCTCCCTTTAGAGATGGAGAGTGGAGCCGCTACTCTTCTACATCGAAAGGAGCCAGCAGAGGTGGCGAAGGCATCTGATCGGGACGCCTTTGAGATGCCTCCAAAGAGACGTCACCCTTTCATTAATGACAACTTTGGGCTGCCTTTATTGTTTTTTTTATTTCTATTATTTTATATTTATTCCGATTGCTTTTCTCATATAAAGCAAACAAAAGTGATGTTTACTTAAAGCTACTGAGAATAAAAGGATGATAAATGAGTATTTAGTAATAATGTGGATTGTACTTCAGATAACATCTGCAAGTGCATGTGTTAAAGACACGTTGTTCATTTTACAAAACTGCAAATTAGTTGTAGCTCTGCAGTAATAAGATTAATTCCATTTTTTATCTTTAGATGCCCTTAATTACATAACTAATAACGCTCTGAGAAGAAACAAGTTTTGCCATTATTAGTGTTTTGCTATTATATTTGCTCTTAGCAAATATAATAGCAAAAAAATATATATTTGCTCTTAGCAAATATAATAGCAGTTCCCCAGAGACTTCAGTCGGTAATCCATGTATGTTAAATATGTCGGTCAGACGAGGGTTAGTCTCTGGAACCTCGATGGAAAATGAGCCGCTCCGTGCATATAAAACAAATACACACAGAGAAAATGTAGTCTTTCACTTTTTGCAAATGAAATCATTTGCTATTTCTGCTCACCCTCCTGTGAGCCTGGTGACAAACAACTCCCAAATATGAATGCAAATAACATATTTAAAAGGGCCTAATGGCCATTCCCAATATAATGCATCATTCTGATCAATTGTACTTATTCAAGTCTACACGCCTCTTTTACCCTTCGCCTCTGATTGTATTTTCCAAATGCCAAGAGCAGATGAATCGCCGCCACTGACACGCAAGTCATTTAGCAACAATGAGGCCAAATGCTAAAAGCAGCGGAAAAAAATCAGCTTCTTCCCCTCCTTCTCTTCCTAAAATCTCTCTAGTTACCTTCCGACCATATTGTGTTGCATTTTCTACATCACTGCCCTGCATGGTGACCGTTTAATTACGCAGGATTTCAGAATAGAAAATTAGACCGACGCCGAACACTACTCCACCCCAGCATGAGCCATTGCATTAGGTTGTTAAGACCACAGGCATAGTGCACTGTCATTAATTTAGCTGCCTTTGACAGTATTGAATGCGAGTAACATTTCTAATGAACGATAAGAACTACAATACCTGCTATTAAATCTTAAGGATGTGTCTCATACTAATGATGCTGTCTCCCTGGAGTGACCTCGAGCTGTGAAGTGGATACTGCATGCACACAGTGGACTTGTTTTGAGGAACAAAAGAGAAAGGGTTTTAATGGCTTTGAGAGTCAGCGGGCTGTCTTTGTGAGTCAAACTTCAAGCAAGTATGGAGAGAGAGAAAAAAAGGAAGGGAAGCAAGACCGACTGCGGAGATGTTTCTGGGTCTTACCTGTCCTGGTATGGCATTTTCACAAAGAAGTGTTTCATAGTCGATGGCAAAAACCGGAGCGTTATCATTTATGTCCTGCACTGTGATCAAAGTGATGCCTTTTCCGATTTGGGTTGGGTCATCTGAAAGGGAAAGAGAGAGGAGAGTCTGTCAAACTTTCTTTAAAGCACTTTGATTCTGCCTTAACTTTGCACTGGGCCAAATTATGGAATATTGATCTTTCTCATGTGTTATAATTAATCACAAAGGAGGTGGAGGGAGGGGGAAAAAAGTGCTGCTGTAATGAAATATGCAGTGTGCTTCAAACAGCTGGCGTTCTTGCCCTCTCTGCTGCGGATCAGCCACAGTGATTAGACTCTGTGCTGGGTTGTTGTTTGCGTGTGCGAATGAGCCATCTCGCACGGAGGGCTTCACGCCTCTCTCCGCCTGATACACAGTGATGGCTAAATGGCTGTGTCTGAGTGCAAGATGATGATTTAGCCTGGTGGAGCCACGGTGCCGGCCAGAGATGACGCCGTGACATTCGGGCCGGCTGATTTGATGGTGATAAAAAGGACGTGCGGAGCCTCGGGCCACAGACTTGTTGTCATTGGCGTGGTCTGGCCAGAGTGGATGAAATGTGAGCGACTGCAGCTCGAGTGCACAACATCCCTCAAACACAGAGTCCCTGCACCCTCTTCAGTTACAAAGAACCCATTTACTATAAATACTGTCATAAGGCAGGACAGTAGATTTTGTTGCCAGTCCATGAACTCGAAGATGTTTTCAGCTGAAAACAGCGCCCAAGTGTCACTATGTGTCAGAAGTCAGTGCCTCATGCATGAGGGACTGTTGTGACATTTCATATGGCTATTATTATATGCTGCTTTCTTTTTGTTGCTATATCAGGCAAGCACTCACACTGGGGATTCAACCAAGTGGCGCATCTGTGTGCTGTTAGATGTAAATAAAAACACATCTTTGAAGCAAAGACGGATAAAAAGGCTTTGAGAAAAGGAAAAGAAAAGAAGACCTTTTTCACACAGTGTTCGATCTGAAGATGTGAAAGCAAAAGAAGTGTTGGGCTGACAGGCTGGTTGTCTTTTTAACTTATACCGGTGTGACGCAGCTGTTTGGCGTGCTCAGTGGATAGCGTGCTGATGATTGCTGTCCATTGTGCGGAATGATAGGAATGGAATGTGGGAAAAAGAAGAAGGAACAAAAAAAGGTGTTTATGTCCTTGGAGCCATTGACAGACGAACAAAAAAGGCACGCGGCACTTCTTCACATCACATTAACATTGTTCACCCGTGGGCGAGATCACCCGCCCTTAGTCAGCATCTCGTCCCCATGGCTCAGGGAGACATGGAGGTCAGAATGACCCTCCCGTATGTGAATTAACATTCCCCGACAGCTCCGCAACAACCCCAACAACACCACACTGCATTGTCCACAGCACAGACAGCTCACAGAGTGGATAACAGGCCAGAAAGGATCTAAAGCTTCATGTATATTGCAAGCCAGCAACAGTATTGCAGTATATCTTAGGAAAAATGCATCCTGCTGATATAACCCTTTTCAGGACTTGGATAACTTACTTGTTCACAAGAGAAACTGCGTATATAAAAAGTGATGCTCTCTGAGGTAATGTTGTCTCCTCTCCAGTAAGGAGCAGGACAGACTCGGTTTTAGGGCTTAAACTCTGATAGTATGCACAACGGGCTTCTCTCTTCACAGTCCATAAAGGACCTGCTAGCTGTGAGCGAAGGTTTTTTTTTTTTTAACCCTGTAAACTAAAGTAGTTATTTCTTGGTTGATTAACCAGCAGACAAGCTATCTAGCTCAGTCACTCGTGGGTTCTTACTTTTGGACACACAATAGAAGACATCCCTAATTAAACAGAATCCAGCGCCAGCATGTGGTTCACAATGTTGATATTAGAGTTGATAAAGTACTATTTATAGGATGAAGAAAGCAATAGTGGACTACATAGTAGTTGTGAAAGTTTTTCCCACAAGGAAACTTACGGCTCTCGATGGCAAAGATGGTGAGGTTGTGGACCGAGTTTGCTTCTCGGTCCAGAGGTTTGGCTGTGCTGATGACCCCACTTAGAGCATCCACATTAAAGAAGCGCTCCAAGTCTGTGTTCCTGTCAATGGAGTACCTGGGCACACAACAGTACACACAGCGCACATACACACTTTTAGAAATTGCTTTTGGATAGTGGTATTGATTTGACATTTTAGAGTTTCTTCTACTTGTAAGGAAAGATTATGATCATGTTTTTTTTTCCCATCAGCAGTAAGAGCTGCATTCGGTTTCATATATAAATACATGCATTATCTTCACACTTTATAGAACACATATGATGTTGTCCAAGCTGTCTCTAAATATTACAACTAATGAGTACCAGTCCATAGATTGGATTAGATTCAGAAACGTGGAAGCAATTTGGAACTTTATATCACGAGCAAAACAAAAGCACATTAACTATTGATAAGCTTGAAGACTGCCTACTTGTCCCTCAGCACTCAGCGCAGGATCAAACCTTTTCAATACAATGCAACTCATATTTCTAGAGAAAATTGCATCTTCAATTAGCGTACATCCAAAGGGTATTATTGCAATGTAATTTGACTCTTGTGGCTGCATTAGTTCCACAATAATTTTAATTTCAACAGTTGTAGTGAAATATATTGCAGATGCTGATAGCAGTCACAGGAGTAAAAAGAAGCAATTTACAGCTACAATGGTGCAGTAATTTGATTTTCTGATTAAGATTGCTAACAATCCGAACAGACAAAGCTTGAATCCCATATAATATTCATTCAATTAATGCAAAACAGGGTGAGGGTGCGTGTGGAGGTAGGGGTTGGTGGGGGGATCTTGTGAGTGACACCACGCAGACTGACAATGTGAGTGCTTGTTTTGAGCCATAAATGCCACGGCACAAGTGTTGAGCCTTGACCCTCCAGCAGGAATGCCCTTCTCTTGTTCAAGATGGCATTTCACTTTTGCACATGCTGCACTCCTCATCCCTACCACCATCTGGCACCGTCTTTGTGACCGCCACGCGGGGAGGTCAGAGGGTCTACGGATTCTGAGTTTGTCGATAATGTGGACTAAACACATTTTCAAACAAATTGGGATTTTAACATCTGAATCGGGTGAATAAATCATTGGCACCTGATTGGACTGTTGGAGTTATCTGGGTCATGGGCAGAGACTCTCCCGATCGAGGTGCCCACTTTGGCGTCCTCTGAAACGACCATCTTGCTCAACGGTGTGGAAAAGACGGGCGGCTCGTTCACATCCTCCACCGTCACCTTGACCGATGTCGTGTCGCTAAACGGTCCCGAGCTCAAGAAGTTGGGGTCGATATTCCTGTTTGTGGCTTCGATTCTCAGAGAAAAGATGCTCTTTGTTTCAAAGTCTAAAGGCTGGAGGAGAGGCAGACAGGGAGAATACAGAAAACATTGAGAGAAACGTTGGCTTCCCTTATCAAAATATGAGAGGTGTCGGAAATGTTTAGCTCTTTTTCGATTTGAGAAATAAAAACTACACCAGGATTGCAGCTCTGCGTTTTCACCCATTCACAGTTAGAGGAACAGTTACTATGTATGTAAATCTGTAAATCATTCAGACGATGCTGAGATATTGATCACAATTAAGGACGTGGACTCTAAAGACCCATTACAATTTAACACACAGTTAGACTTAAACAAAGTGATTTGGCGATGGATTATAGTTACTTTGTGCTGTGAAAGCAGTAATATTGATTTCAAGCAAGTCTCACAACATGGTGAAAAGCACGCTGAAATGAACGCTTTTGAAACATTTTTGTCATTTTGTCTGGCTTATTGAACTCCCCATAGCAACGTATAATATACTGCAAGAGAACATTGATTTGACACTTTCATTGTCTGTGAATCTCTCCTATGTTGTAATTGTCTGAGTTTGGTGCAAAACAAACAAAGGATTAAATTGGCCCATCTGACAAGAATTGCTTGTGGCCAACAATGGCCCTACCTCTCCCACAAAAGAGTGCCAGCAATGAAGTGTCACATCAATGTGGCCCGCGGAGACCATTTTCAAGCCCTTTGAAACCCTGAAATGTGATGTATCAGCCATGTGCTACGGAGCATGCAAAACTAAGGTGGGAACGCACAACATTTTCTTTTTCCATTAGAAATGAATAAATTACTTTTTACATTTAACTTGACAATTTTCTTTACTTATGTAGTTGGCGCCAGTAGCGCCGCTGTTATTTTGCTGAGTTTGGGTCTTTTCTTGAGTTTTCGGTGACCGCGTGATGTTTATTTCATCACAAGAGGTGGAAATAGTCAGCGCTGATTTGTCATTAGTGATTAGCACTTAATCTAAAGGTTCTGCTGACATTTAAAACACAGTAGGACGGGGAAAGCGGAGAAAGGAAAACCGGGGAGAGGAACTTATCCTAATATCCTTCATAAAACAAGTGTTTGCTGTCTGGCACAAAGAGACCACAGTGCACTGAGATTCAGTGGCACCGTCATTATTCTTATATAAAAATATTGCATCACCATGTGTGTGGTAGTCAGTGTTGGGGAGTAACGGAATACATGTACCGCCGTTACGTATGTAAAATACTTAATATGAGTAACTGTATTCCGTTACAGTTACCGTTTAAAAAGGTGGTATTTACAATACAGTTACTTTGTTGAAATAAATGGATTACACGGCGGTACTTCCCTGTTTCATATTGTGGCGGGTCAGGACTGTTTGGGTTTTGTTTGACA